ACATTTAATTGGAGATTTAATTAAAGAGGCAGCGGCGAGTATTTTACGATTTCTAATTTGCCGATCTTTCGAGAGTCGAAATTGAAATTAATTGAGGCACTTTGCTGGAAGACAGGGCCTATGAAAATTTCGAATCGAAATATATCGTCTTGTAAATTTTTTCTGTTGTATTTTGAAGGAATACGATATAACGAAAGAAAGGAATAGTGAATTGATTGATATATCGGGTATATATTTTTAACTGGAGATATTTTATAATGTTTCGAGAAACGTAATGGAATATTGGACGAAATGATGGCGATGTACAAAGTTTTAAAATTGTGCGTTATTCTTAATATTTTATTATCGTGAATGAATCTCCGGGAACGCAATTTTTACCGCAGTACATAAATTACATTCATTTGTTGATATATTTCTATTTCTCTCCCCTTTGGAAAAGCTTTTTATAATTACACTCTTTGTTTAATAAGGTTGAAACAGATTTAAATCTGTTTGCACAAACTTTATCGTATTCTTTCCACTTCTCCGTCAATTTTAATTTCTGCAAAAATATTTCTCGAGGCACAATTACGCCGTGGCCAACATCAGATTACGGTTGAAAGTAACCGCTTATCTTTTCCAATTAATCCAAATAGGAAAAAGCGATTGTTTTCATTTTTCTCGATCAAAAATTAAAATTACCGTTTAATTATCATTTTCTTCGCTCGATGCATCGGCAACCATCGGAATGAAGGAGGTAAAAACTTGCGGAAACGAGAGGAGAAACTTTTATACAAGACTTTGAGAAAGTCGAAGGAAAAAAAAAAAAAAAAGAAAAAGAAAAAAAAAAGGGAAAGAGGCAAATAATTTTTCAGCTTACCGTAAAAAATCAATATGGACCGTATCTTCCGGGTTGGTAGGTCGTTTCCTTACTGGCGAAAGGAATTTACGTAGGATGTCTATCGAACGTCATGCATTGTCCGTTCACACGTGCGGCTACAAAATAGGTTGCGCCATCCACGCGGTAATACTTTCCCGTTATCGCAACGTGGCTCATAAAAGACCGGTAAAGCCAAACGAGTGTGCGGCGCTCCTAGCTAGGGAGAGAGAGCTCGTAGATACGGGACGAGTCGATAACAAACATTCTTCTGGAAAATATTTTACCCGCGAAAAACATTATGGCTTACGATACGAAGCGTCGATTATTCTATCGTTCTAAAACCGTAAGTAAGTGGGGCTGCTTTGTCACGATCGTGGTGGTAAATTAAGGAAAATATCTAAGCGGATACCACTTCTGATAGCAAGAGTAAAAGGTGGAGCAAATCCATATAAAGATAGAAAACAAGTGCAAGAGTGCGAAACGAATTTATGTTAAATTAACTTTTGAAAAAATAACTAAAATTATTCACAATTTCGACCGATAAAATATTCAAACTTCAAAATGGATACTCGAGCAAAAATTAAATTTTCAAGTGGCGCGCACGCAAATTTGCCCCCTTCCTTCGAAAAGATCAATTCGTAATACGATCACGTCCTTGGCCCGATAATCTCTAATTTTTCTAACAATTATCGACGAGAATAAGTGAAATTTCCATATGACGTTCGTGCACACGGGAAATTCACTCGCAGTTCGAGTGATAAGATTTGAATTCGGCGATCGCTTATCCTTATAATATAACGAGCATCTATTTAGCCCGAGTGCTCGAGTACACGATGAAAACGTCGGCAATTAGCTCTCGTTACCTTGCTCGGGGCTCGTTCGACGGTTCGTTAAACCTGACCTGTTTCCCCCCGAGTCCACGAATCGTCCTGCACGAGTCCTCCAAAGAGATCCCTCGAGATCTCGTCATAGTGGCAGCCATGAAATCGCATGCGAGGCGAGGAAATGGCGCGCGTCCACGCGATCCTAGATCGGCACGCCGATTTTCTTACGGGGGCTTCGTTACGGAGTGGCCTCTCTCTCTCCCTCTCCCTCTCCCTCTCCCTCTCTCTCCCTCCTCCTCTCTTTCTCTACTTCTTTCTTCCGACGATTCGCCCTAGATTTGAACGGAGCGTGCACGAGCGGTAAGGTCCACGCGATTTACCGCGTTTTTATTATCGCCGTCACTCGCGTCGCGTCGTGCAATTTTGTTTAATTTCGTTGAAGCGCCGTGGGTAGTTAAAAGGTTACAACGCGTTAACGTCGTTTCATTAAGTTGATGTGTCGCTTTCACGAGTGAAACATTTATCATGCTCGCGGTGGTTGTTTCTTCAAGACGTGATGATTATATTAAATTAATCTTTTCAGAGGCGTAAATAATTTTGTTTCTTTCCTTTTTTTAATATTAAGATTATTTTAAGCAAAATTATGGAATAAATATAAGAAAAATCAAAGCGTGGATGGTGTTTTATTTTACTTGGCAATCATTTCTTTGAAAGTATTGTAACTTTGATGTGTTATAACGTTTTTTTAATTAAGATTCATTATTACAAATTTATTTCTTTATACAAATATACGAATCTTCGAGAATCCCTTAATCATTGGTTAAAAATTGTCCAACGAGAAGAAGAATCTAATAGAATAGAATTTTAATCTTTTTGGAAGCTTTAAGTTTTGTTTTTCTATATATTAAAATTATTTTAAACAAAATGGAATCTCGTAAGAATAAATATAAAGGAATCGAAGCGTAGATAGTATTTTATTTTAACATTGATGTCTTATCTTTTAATTAAGATCGATTATTACAAATTTATTTCTTTATACAAATATACGAAGAAACTTATGAAAACAACAATTTGGAAACGAAACGAATCTTCAAAAATCCCTTAATCATTGATTAAAAATTGTCCAACGAGAAGAAGGATCTAATAGAATAGAATTTTTTAAGAAATCAGTTGCCATTGCAGGAACGAAATAAGAATTGATCATCCCAGTTATGCCAAATGAACAAGAATTCAAACGTCTGGAATATTTATGAAAATTGTAGCGAAGAATACGTGACTCTCGAGTTTCTCGTGAGAATAGCAAAAAGATAGAGAGAGAGAGAGAGAGAGTGGAGCGTGCCAGTTATGTAAATGTAAACGCAATTAAAGAGTAGGAAGAAGCCGCGTAGGACAATTAAGTGTTTTCGAAGTGAATTCCAACGAAAACCGTAGGCAGATTTGTAATAGCTTTCCTGCTGCGAAGCAATGCTTCGTAATTGTCGTGACTAAGTTATTCAGTTAAGCCACTTACGCTGCACCGGGGTTATGCGTTATCGTAGCAACGGCGGCTGCATTAATCTCGAAGCGAGAGAGAGAGAGAGAGAGGGATAAACAGAGAATTCCTCTCGTCCCCAGCACGCCATTGTGCCCCTTCTCGCGAACGAAGAAGCGCGAAAACCGTCCCTAATCTCCGATGCTATCTCTCCTTAGGCCTTTGAGCTTTTAAGCTTTCGCAACTTCGACGTTACGATTTTACACCGTTCGGCTGTTCCGCGAAAATTAATCTGGGTTAATAGAAATTCTCCCTCCCTTTTTATTTACCTTGGCCGAATTGCGAATCTCTTCAGAGGATTGGATTGGAATAAATATGGATTTTAAAATTATATTCGAGATTATTCGTATTTATTTTATATCCGTCTAAATATTGGCCATATGATTGTGATTGTAGTGATAGAAAAGAAAGATAATCATATGTTTTCGTTGGAAGAAATACTTACGATATTTGTGTCTTCTGATAGAAGACCGCTTGTAAGTTTGTATCGTTAAAAGGATTTCTTATCTGAATAGCTTATGATACGAAAAGGGAAGGAAAATTACGCTTTTCTCTCTGTTCGTCTGTTTCGCGCAACAATGGGGAAATTTAATAGTTGAAGTTACTTCGAATAAAGTTACTTCGATAATTTATTGTTCAAAACGTAATAATAATCGGAAATAATTGTAACAATCAAATAATGGAGATTATAACCAACTATAATAGTTACGAATAAATGTTATATTTCGAGCATTTCAATAAGTGATTACTTAAAGTGACTCTACTCGAAAATTACATTACTTTTTCAACAGGGTTTAATGTCCAATCTCTGCTTGGCATTGGATAACATTAACACAGATAAGATTCTCTTCGAAACGTAAGATATTTGTAGAAAATTAGGATGTTATAATAAAATACACTTTCGAGAAAGTGTAAAAGTTGACGAGACATCTTCTGGTGGCAATCTGGTTGGAACCGTTCGGATGTGTGTATATTAAGAATTAGGTTAAGTTTTTTCCCCTCCAGCTTCTTCTCGTTCCAAAGAAGCTGGTCAATAATATTTTAACCGACACAATTCTTTTTCCAGGGAGCCAGGCGGAGCATCAACAATCGTCGAGCGCCAACAACGAGGTGACGGAGAGCTCCGCCGGAGAGGATAAAGGCGAAGATGTCATCGAAGGCCCCATCAGGGAAGTTCTTGCACAAAGCGGAAGCACCGCGAATTTGCCGTGCAAAATTACCGAACCAGGCGCTGGAACCGTAAATGTCGTTACGTAATACAAGTTAGCTCGAAGGCGATTGACCCAGAAAAGTATTTCCAAGATACGCCCCTCGCCCTGCCGTCATGTAGATTCATGCAGAGTCGAAATTAGTTTCATACCGATACACGACACAACGCCACGGGGCGGAGGACTGCTTAACATCCGCCAGATACTTACCTTTACCTCCAACAACGCGCCCCTCAACCGATTCATTGCTTTTCGCTCTCGTCTCCTCAATTTCGCCAAAAATTTCGATTTTTCTTTCCACGTTGTTGTTGTTGTTGTTGTTGTTGTTGTTGTGCGAGCATATAATAATCTTGCTCTCGTAATGGAATACGTAATGAAATCTTCGTTGGTAATATATTATAATAGGCGAGGAACTGGTTAGTTTTCAACAGAATTTGCTACTTTCGAATCAGTGGAAAAAATTATTCGACAGTGGAAAAATTTCGAAGATCAGGAGCGAGTCCTCTGGTATCGTTCTCGAGAGGAGAGCACGTCCAGGAAGTGGACAGTGGTCGCGACACTTTCCAAAGCGGTTGATTGATAAGCTGTTTTCTTCGGCAATGGTCAATCAACGAGCTTTTGGAAAAACACGAGGAAAGCTTTTCATCCTCGAGAAGAGATCAGACATGGTTCATCAAAAGCGATTCACCAAAAATCACCAACGGGATTACTCGCGAACAAGTGTCTACCTTTCGATCATTGCCTTCAATTTACCACCACGACTTCCACGATCCATGCTGGACAGAAGGAAAGAGAAAGAGAGAGAGAGAGAGAGAGGAAAGGAATACATCGAGGAGAATAGCATTCTTCCGTATATTATATTTTTTAATTCGAACAAACTCCGATCTCGAGACTTTTAATCGAATACATTTTACGTCTCGCTGCTTTCTCCTCCAGCCATCTTCCTCCACCACTTTCTTTCACTTTATATTGACGTTCCATTAAATATCTTCTTTTCCATCGTATTCACGGCCGTTCAATTTTCATTTCCCGAGCACCGAGTTGAGTGATATTCATTTAATTTCCGTTCGCCAGACGGCATACACAAAGTAAATCGAGGGAAAAAGAGGGATTCATGACTGAATAATACCACGAACCACTGAGCTTTAAAAGCCCAAGATATCGTTTTTCTTATACGCATACACGTCCCTCTCTGTCATGTCTTTCGAAGAATCGTCAAGAATCGAACGTATCCGATTTTTTTATAATCTCGAAAGCCTTTAGTTGGGGAGTTTTTTTTTTTTAGAGAGAGGATAGAACGGGTGTTTTTTTTTTTTCTGTTTCCAAAGTAAACCGTTAAGTTGGTAAGGCGAGGAAGGAATGGAATAAATATCAAACATTAAAAAAGAGGAGGGGGGAGGGGAGGAAAAGAAGAAAGATAAACTTTTCGTCTAATGTTGTCCAATGGATTACAGGGAATGGAACAGGGCCGGCCGGAATCGTCCCTAAGCTGATTTTGCGCGAAGTTTCCAATCTATTTTCAAACTTGCTTCTTTTGTGCCGTGAATTTAATTTCTTTGCAAGCTTTGCGCTGTAATCGAATCACGGTTAAACAGGCGAAGAATCCTCGGTTGTATTTCTAATTGATTCGAAGAAAAGTCCGTGACTTGTTTAATCGATTTCTGTTCGATTATACTATATATATATTTCATTAGTAACGGAATTTAGACGCAATTTAGAGAATGGGAGAGACATTCCAAGTAAAAGAAATCTTTAAGAGAGGTTATTGGCCATAAAAGAAATCTAAAAGCTCCAACTTTTTTTCGAATAAAATAAAATCCTCGGGTATAATAAAATTCCTATACAAAAAGTACGTTTATCAAGTCACTCTCGGGAGAAGAAGATTAATAAGTATAGTTGGAACAGAAATTTATCCATTTATATTACTTTATATAACGCAAAAGATTTTTCGACCATTTTCCAATCATTTATTCCCGCAAAATGATTTCCACGGATCGGCAGATTTTTCAACGCCAATAATTCAACTAGTTAATACCGTTAAATTTAATTATTTCGGCACGACTGAAATTCGTAGAAACGTCGCGGCAATTCGTGCTGGAAAACATTATTGCCACCTCGATAACAAATAGCTCGGCCACAGCTCCCGCTAATTTTCTTTCTACCTCCCTGAACTTTTAGACAAATTGCTCGTCCTTCCCTTTCTGCCCACCGCGATTCATTCTCTCCCTCTTCCTCCTCCTACCCTTATATTTCTCCTCCCCCCTCCTTCGTTGCTCGTGAAATTCTTTAAATCGATACGAAACACGTTAAGTATGAAGAAATTCTGATCATATATTCTATATTCTATATTCCCAGCTCTACATCTTTTTCTTTCCAATTATATCCCGTTCCTTTCAACTCCAATCTCAGTAATCTGCATTTTACACAAAATATTCATATGTATATTCATATGCGTGCCTTTGAAGATATCTTGATTCCAGATCGATTCTGAAAGAAAAAAGCAAGAAAAAATTGGTTAATAATAGAATTATCATAATCAAAATAAATTTCAATTGCTTGTAACATAATGGCCAAGCCTTAATCAATGTTCGATAAATTTTTTAGAATCGATTGGATCAGGATTTTTTTAAAAATTTCTATCGATCACCACGACCCGTCCTTTCACATTTCGATTCTCGGCAAAGGTACGCGTGGAATCTCGTACGTCAGCCAAGATTAGGCGACCCCCTCGATTGATTCACATATTTTGAATCTCATATTTTCCCCTGCCAGCCACGTTCCTCCCACCTCTCCTATTTCCTCGCGTTTCTTTTCTTCCTCTTCTTCTTTTTTTTCCCCTTCGATCGCGTTTCCCTCGCCTTCCTTCGAACTCTTGGAGCAGAGAATATTTCAGAATATTTTACGAGGCTCCGCCGTTAAACCGATACCGTAGCAGGTGCTCCGTTCAAGTTTTCCAGAGGAGGAGGAGGAGGAGGAGGAGG